TGCTACACTCCAGGAAGCAGGCAGTGCATCGCACTGGGGAGGATGCCTCCGAGACAGCGGGAGCCAAAGCACGCGCTCCCTAGAGCCTCAGAGCCACCTGCATAAAGTCGGTGCCACTGACTGCAACCCGGCACCCCCAGCACCTCCAGCAGCAGGGCCGCTGTGCACTTGTCCTGAGACAGGCCATCTCCGCCCGCCGCCGCCACCACCCGAGCACGCCGCCGGGGCCTCGGCGATTGCCCCATCTGCCCCATGGGCCGCGTGCGCCACATCCGGGTTAGGAGGGCTGAGGACAGTATGGTTCCACCAGACGCAGCCCCGCCCAGTGCCAGAACACCTCCCCGCCCTGGCGCCTGGATCTCCCGGTGTTATCAACAGCTCTGTGAGTGCGAGTGCACCGCCTGGAGGCCGGACAAAAGACCCTGCGGGCCTGCCAGCGAGCTGAACACGGGCGGGGGGCCCGGATAGACCCGTCCCATCCACCACTGCCGGCGTCCACACGCTCTGTAGAGAGGCCTGAGATAGACCTGCACCGCTTGGCACGGTCCCCAGTCCCCAAATGCGTCATTCAGGGGCCTGAGGGTCGCCCTGCCTTGTCCACCACCACTGACATCTGCACACTCCTGGGTGCCTGAGGACCCGCCCCCACAGCTCCTTGCTGCCACCGCTTTAAGAGCTAATCTCAGGGAAGTAGAGAGCAGAATGGCAGTTAACCAGTGGAGGCTGGTTAATGGGTTCAAACATACAGTTTGGGAAAATAAGTATTGTCCGATAGCACAGTAGGGTGGCATTAACAGCAATGTATTATATATTTCAAAATATCTGTAAGAGGTTTGAAATGTGCCCACACAAAGAAATGATAAATGCTCAAGGTGATGGATATCCTAAATACTCTAACTTCATAATTATGCATTTTAGGCATGTATCAAAATGTCACAATTCATCAGGATTATCATATTCCTCATTAGAATAGTCTTGCCTCAGGCGTTAGAACCTCTAACTCCAGCAAAAACAAGATCTTGGGAAAAGGAAGCCATTTTCAAGTGGATTATTAGGTGTAATAGTGTGAGGCCACTACAAATTTGAATCCTAACTCCATGCTTTGGTTCACAAACCTGTACGTTCTGGCAGTGGCAGGGACGGCAACATATACTGGTCAGGCAAACACTACGTGTTGTAGAACCCCATGCCAGACTTGCAAGTTGTTTTACCACAGGTGGTGTCAATAGCGTGCCTTCAGAAAGTCGTTTCAATACCTTGTTGAGCCAGTTACTTGTTGTGGTCAAGTAAGTAACTTTTGTAGGAATGAACTAATTGTCAGTCTTTCTTTTATGTAAAATGTCAAATACAATATTGTGTGGGAAACATGACAATGGATAAGACGTTCTGTAACTCTATGAATACTGATGGTAATAGAAGTACTTTAGGCAGAGAAACCAAATCTATTCCTAAAATATCAGATTTTTCCTATGAAAACAAAGCACCATACAGTCCAAAGTGAAAGGTACTTAAGTAATAGATCTGCCACCAGATGACTGGCTGGTCTCCCGGAAAAATGTGCTCTTGCTTTAGTCTCTGGCCTTGACAGGTTGGTCATTCAGCAGAGATCATAGCAAAATCGGCCTCTATGAAGGAAGACCATACTACTGAGCACTTGTTTAGCTTCCATCCTGTTGCCCTGGACAATTTCCAGATGTCTACTTAACAGGCTGGGGAAAGAGGCTGACTGTCATCCACAGAATAGGTTACTTTGTCCACCAACACCAAAAAGTTGAAGACACACGGTGAGAAGATGTGGAACAGGAAAGCAGTAACAAAAATAATGCTACTCTGTCTATGACAATATTAAATATAATAGTCATTAAATCACTACAAAATTTAAAAAGGTGATCATGCAACTACCATTAGTTTGCCCCTCCAGCTCTGATGCTCACTTTCTATACCTTACTCTTTGCCCTGGAGACTGACCTGTGAGGGAAACTCTGCCCCCTTGGGCAATAGGTGCTCAGCAGGAGAGCAGAGGAATGAGTCTGAAGTCAGGACAGACTGATGTCCCTGAGCCCCTCTCTGTGAGGCCAGGGCTGGCCCTGCAATTTGCAGGGGACATCTG